TAGTAGGTGATTTTCTCTGAACACTATTGCGTTTTTGATTTCATTGGCTATATTACTGTCACTTTTAGAGTAGCGGAAAATAAGACTCTCCCACTCCTTATAAAACAAACCAGGAGTCATGCCTACTGCTTGAAACTTTTTTGTTGCGATATATCAATGAAAAAGCAAATTTTTAAGTTCCTCTACTTCCTTCCATTGAGTTTCAGTTATCGTCACGTTCGGATTGGCCATGTCCTTGAGAACAGATTTCAGTTGAAGAAATCGCTCAATCATCAAGTACAGTATGTACTACTCCATATAGTTACTTGATCTAACATTGCCCCTTTTCCAGCTCTCCGCTTAATTATCTCATTTATTTTTGGTGTTCTAGCGGCTATTACGACGTTTCGTACATTTTCAATAATACTTCTTGCATATTTTTCTTTCAAGGCATCACGAATTGCTAATTGCAACGTATGAGCTGCACACCGCATATGATAGATCTTAAAAAGCCCAAAAAGCAGCATCTTCAAACTCAACTAAAGAATTATTAACACTGCTATCATCCGATTTATCAATATCATCTACTGCCTTCATAGAATTTATTTTTTCGACAGTACTCACCATATTATGAGAGTTGTCTGTCACAATTGCTATAATTTGTTCTATTTTAATATTGAATTCGTCCAAGACATCCAGCACTAGTTTTTTAATGCTGTTGCTAGTGTGTTGGGATTTAGTATCTTTTATTGCCAACGTACGAATGACGACATCCTTTTGATTGTCTATAAATTGAACATTAATAGCTAAGTAATTTGCTCGATAGTGTGTACAAGCATCTATTTTCAGAAAAATGAATTTTCCCTTTAAGAGATTCTTCAGTATAGTTTTCTCTTTGTTAGCATCCTCCAGTACTAGATTCCGAACACTGCTGCTTTCCAATGATACTCCAAGTTTATCGGCCATTTCTCCATTCAGTCTAATAAAAGCCGAACTGGTGAAAAAAGTGAGGCACAGAATTTTTATAAACCATTTCACTAATGCAGCTATTAAATTTTTCAGCGATCATAGACACAGTAACTTTATTACTTGCAAAATAATAACTTATAGTCGTCACTCTTCTTTCTTCTGGTAATTTACAGCTATCATTTCTCTTACTTCTGCTGTTATCTTTGTCGGTGATGATTTTTAGCAAATTAGGATGATAGCGTTGTATATGTCGTTTCATGTTTGATACTCTACTTGGCGCATTACTTCCTTTTCCCGAGTAAGCAGAAAGCTTTTGGCCACAAATTTCACTATCATCATCATCCTTCGCATAACATAAAAAATAATTTGTCCTCACTTATTGTGAAATATTCATAAACTGAGGATTTTTTCTTTGAGTCCTGATTCATCGTAGACAAGGTTTGTGTTCACCTTTATTTTCATTAGAAAATAATATTTAAATCTGATATATATTTTAATAAAAACATAAATAAAAATGTTTGTTCATTCGCTATGCACTCCTAGACCGTTCGACCGATTGGTCTGCAACTCGGCAGTTACGTTAACGTACCTAACATTATCTAAGTTATTATCGTAATACCATCCCAAAATATTGATTTAATTTTTACTCGTATATGTTAATCAATTTTAGCTTTTATCCAATTTGGTTTGGTTAGTTGTATTACGGCAACGCAATACAAGGACGATCTGCCGGTCCCTATCAAAAGTTCATATATAGTTATTTGAGGCCTGCGGCTCCAAAACTTTTAATATCTCTCAATTTTCATCTATTTCTCTTCGTTTTCGAGGTTAATAAAGGATAGACAGGAAGACGGACGACGGTACGGATGTATAGGACTGCAATTTGAAAATTGCAGCCTAATAATTCATACAAAAAGATATAATTTTTAAAAAAATGAATATTATTTTCAATTAATTTCTGCGACAATGATATAAACAGTGACAAACTATATAAATACTTGGTTTTTTATATTTAACAGCTCAGGTATTCTCATTTTGGAACAATGAATTTTAGTTACTAAGAATGTTGTATTTTTTCACCCTTTTTTAACTCAACCTCGCCAATTCTCCATTCCTCATAAGCCCGAGGAAAGCTGGGCACATACATCTAGTTTTTAAGAAAAAATTTTTATTTAAAATTAAAGCAAAATAATAAAAAATCTAACAACAAATTGCGCAGTATGAATAGTGGCGCATTATCCTATAGGCAGAATGAGCAATTTCCTAAGGCTCTTACAAACTGCGGGCAACAAATCACTCTTTTATAAATTCTTTATTGTAATAAAAAAATCTAAATTTAAATTAGACGCTTTATCTGGGGACCATAAATTGCCGGTGTGGCACAGGTGTCAGTTTCTCCTAATAAATATGCTTGAATTCAACACTGTATGGGGTCTCTAATTCAAATTTGCCTGGGTCCTACGAAGCTATAATGCGCTACTGGAGTTACCTAACTTTTCAGGTGAAGTTAATGTTGCGTGTGGCGTTATCTTTTATTAGATTTTATTAAAAAATTTTTATATTATAGTAAAACCCTCTTAAGACATTTTTGAATGAACCGGCTCGAAAAAACGAGTTAAGCAGAAAAACATCTTTGGCGGGAATGACAGAAACACTTTTTATAATCCAAATGTTTGATTATAGAAGAGGTACAATAAAATGTATTAAGTATAATTTTTAAAGTACTAGACTAGTTTTTAGTGCAAGCTTCTATCAATAATTAGCATGTAACCGTCTAGGAAAAACATCGCATAATATTCAGACCAATACAGTATATATAAAATATATATATACTTACAGTATGATAAGAAGAGCAGAACGTCGTTGATAAGTAAAGATTCCAAACGGAGACCGCCTATTTATACTGCTCTTAAAACTACCGTCAGTCAACTGACTATTTTTTCTAGCGAATCACAGAAAGAAATTTAAAATTTTGATCAGTACTAATTTTCGAATTCAAATACAAAATTGTTTATAGTTGAAATTTGTCAGCCAATCAAAAGCATGATTTCAATTTCCAAACGTTAAATCGGCGGGAATTCAAGGAAGTCGGTTAGAAATCGTTTAATTGTCAATACAGGAATCAACGTAACGAATTTTATTTGTAATCTAAATTTTGAAATTTTAAAGTTTCTTAGCAATGGGTTGTTGAATTAATTAACTTCATAAATTTCGATATTAACTCCCGATATAAGTAATATCGAATGTTGCACTGCCCTTCTATCGAGACTACAGGATTTCTGTGCATGTGTTACTGTGAATGACCGATATCTGGAGAATGTCAGCATTCACACAGTCGTTTCTTGTATGTATGAAATATTTGCTAAATATTATTATTTCGCACTTACACCGGCAAATGTCGACATTCAGCATGCACTGATGGTGAATGTTGAATAAAAATATTTTTATTACGTGAAGACAAAAATGCAACATTTTAATGTCAAAATAGGAGAAAAGTTAAGTAACAGCATTTGTAAATAAACTGTTGAACCTAAAACGAACAGTACATTCTTAATTAGAAAAGAAAAATAATACACAACATTACACATATACATATATTATATGATTAATGTTATATAATCTTATTTATTAAAACAACTTAAACTGTTATGGCACTTTGAATTGCACGATTGTCCCTTGCTTTTACAACTGCATTTATTCGTGGAACACTTCTTTTTGCAATGACAGCATGTATAGCCTTGTCCTCTACTTTTCGAATTAGCTGTAGATGCTTCCCTCAGTGATATTTCTTGAGAAGAAATCCCATGTATAGAAAGTAATTTTTCTTTACAAATTACGAATTGATTACGGGTATAAAGCTGCTTGAGGGTACCATTTTTGTTTGCTAATTTATAAAAGTTGGAATCTTCTCTTCCAACAACTGCCAACATATTTCGGGCACCTGTACGGCCACGGTTGACATCAAGGACTTGTATTCGTACGGTATCACCAATTTGCGCAGAAGAAAACGGCGAAAAATTTGGCGATAAAATGTCGCCTCTCTGTCGACATCGGTATTTTGTATGTGTCGGCATTCACCGGAGAACATCGACATTCTCTAATTTCGGTCTTTCACATAACACGCATTTTCTGAGGAAAACACGATTGGTCACCGACGTGATCGTTTTAAGCTGGTAAAAATTGTTTAATGGAATCGATACACATCTCACGAGGGAATTTTTAACAAGAGTCTTATGGGCAGGACCGACGAGAGAGTAGGATGATAGGGTAAAATTTACCGGGCCCCGGATTCACAGGAACCCGGACTTCATTCCACAACTTTCAATCATTCCCGAGGTCCATGTACATTTTTTCCCTGGGCTAGCGACATCTTTCGCCACCATTGATTATGGGCATAATGATGATACTCGTAAATTTGAACGACTTAGGAGAAGAAACATCTTAACCGAGATTTGATGTACTATTATAAAATAACAAAGAGCTTAATTTAATTTTGAAAGTAGAAACGAGTTTTATATAATAAAAAATTGTGAACACTAATAACGACTAAAATGTTCATTAAGTCTGACCACACTGGAGATATGACACATGACTCCTTCTATGTCTCCACCCTGTCGATCTTTAATTAAAAACCAAAATTTAATAGCATTAATGCCCCTTTATACACAAGCTACGGTGCCAGATTTCGTTTCTTAAACTTTACCTATTCTGACAATATCTCAGAACGGAGAATAAAGAAATTAAACAAATACATACGCGTGCGCGCGCGAGCGAATTTTCTCCTTTATTTGACATTTTTTTAATTTTTGGTTCAGGAAGTCTCCAAACGTGTAAATTTGCAAAAACACTCGGAGGGTCAAATTTGAGGCGATTCCAATAGTTATCCGTTTTATATACAGTACATAACAAGACGGGAAAGTAAAAAAGGAGTCGGAGTCGGCGGAATTTTTGACGACTCCGACTCTGGCTAAAACACCAAAACTCCATAGCCCTGATATTTAAATAAATAAAACATAATAAACAAAGCTAAGTAGAAAAAACATGACTTAAGGTTTTTAAGTCCCATTCTTTATTATATTTTTCTACGCTGTTAGAAACGAATTAGTATTCCTAGCATTTACACACTTCTTTCAATTTATTTTTAATTAAAGTTATTTTTGAATTTTAAAAATAAAAAATAGTAGAAAAAAATACGAATCATTTTGGAACATTTATAATCTTAAGCCTTAGGATGGCCTTTACTAAATAGGTTGAAATCGTTAGTAAAAAGAAAAGAATTTATACTGAGCAAAAATTAGGTACTGTGCGATTTATTTGCCAAGAAAGCGATGGATACTTGTATGCGTTTTCGATACCTAAAGATAAAAATGAAGCTTTAAAACAGTACCAGAGTCGTAAATGTCTTTAAAAACAGCGGGAAATGAAGAACTATATTCAGTCTCCATCTTGACAGGCGCAAAGAACTGTCGGCTACCAACAGAGTAGGAGAGAACTTCTGTACACTTTTCTTCTTTGTAGCTGAAATTGAACGGAATACGTCACTAGTAAGGAGCGAAGTGCGAACACTAAACCCATTTATTGTCGTTTTCTTTTCCCTTTTCCGTTCTCACGAAGTACGACCCGTCCCGAAGAGGATGTAACTAAAACGAACACGGAGAAAACATCCAACTATATACTTCCTTCGATTTCTACCTAAAAGATATGGCTTATCAGAAAACAACGTTCAATAATTACAATAAAAGACACAAACTTTTCTTTTTTCGTATTTCAATGCCGCATTTACCTTTCATCAACGTAACTGAACTATCAATTTAAAAAATAAGTAAGTGGCGCCATCTAATACTTAGAGAAATTCCGAAAAAATAATATTCAAAAATCTTTAATTTGTCAGTTTACGATTCGATAATTATTTATTTATTCGAATAATATTGAAAACGAATTAATACGCTTGAAACTATTATAAACTTAAAAAAAAATAACACAAAGTGGACAGTGACAATAAATTTAGATTCAAATGCTCATGGCGGTTTGGAGTTATAGATCTTGCATATAGGAGCAAAAAACTCAAAAGGAACCATATCTCTACATGTGTGATGTACTCTCCGCGTGATGTACTCCCAAAATCGGGTTACTTTAGGACACGATTATTATTTCTACTTTATTCGAATACATCTTGCTAATGTGTCATGCGTTTGTAAGATATCTCTGCCACTTATTTTAACTGCTCGTGTAAAAGGCAGAAATATGTATATACTGTAAACTCACCTTGAACAGCGTCTCCTTCCGAGGTACTGTACTGTACACTAGCTCCCTGACGAGGCTTAACCTATTCTTGATTTTGTGTGATGGAGTTCGTGGTGAAATCCTTTGGCCGCACCTAGGTTAGGTCATGGGAGTCGACGACAAAGATGCTGGTAGTAGTGCCTGATGTTTTCTGAGAAATCACAATTGACTTGTTACATCAGCAAGAAGTATCCGTTGTCATGTTCATGAGTTACACACACACATGCGCACAACCTACACTCACCAACGGTTATATTCCTAATGCTGTTCCTCTTCTCTGCCGTAGTGAACGGGAAAATCGATATATGGCTAGTCGGCGGAAGATGCTGGTCATCACGCCCTCCGATTGTGAGATTTTGGAGACACTAAAGAACGGAGCATGAATAGAAGGCCACGATGTCCCGCAGGAACTGTCAGAATTGTGCCGATTGTCGCTTATTGGGACAGCAACCGCAAGCTATAGCTAGAACAGACGTAACTTAGCAAGCTGCTGTCCGAGACTTGATGGACTTGTTCAGCTGGTGACTTCTAATCTCGACGTTCTCAATAAGGGCCTCAGGATCATCAATATAAACGGGGAAAGGAAAAATTCCGTTGTACGAAATCGGTTAAGTTCGGATTAGTCACGACCCTTTCTGTACGGCCTCTTCGGTGGGGCGGTAACTCTTAAATCTGTAATATGTGCTATAATATGTTAAGTTGCTAAAAATATTGTCATGATTTATGACGGAAGACACTGTTAAATTGTTTAATAAAAGCACTTTTTTCACAAGATAGCAGAAGACTGGCGATCTGGTAAGAGGAGCCACGATCGCCTTTCGTTCTTCTGGAGCGTTATTGGGCCGGCAGGTCACGCTACATCTCAACACCCAAGGGAGAGAAGGTTGGATGGGCAGCAGGTTACACTGCATTTCAAAAGTCAAGGGATAGTCGGTTTTATCGGCCGACATGCGCACTGATTTACTCGTGGTTACTTCCGCTAACTTCGTCATCATCGTGGTTTGTTGATAGTGGTTCTGTTCTGATGTCCGAGATTCGGCCGTATTACAACCAACTAGAGTAGATGTGTAACGAGTACTTGAACATTACAATTTTCGTGCCGACTATTTTACAATAGGCATGTGGAAAGTCGCCGTATTATTATCGGCAGTTGTTTACATTTAACAAGCTGGACAAGAAAGAATTCTTTAAAATAATTATTTTATTAGAAGAAAATATTAGATAATTTATCTACGATAATATTATTTTAACAGCAATGCATTTCTATGTGAGTTCTCTCACTAATAACATTATATTAATTATTTTAATAATATATATTTGTTAATCCAACTTTGAGTAATACACCAATATTGTTAATATCTTTAAGTAAAGCAATTTTAAAAATCTGTCGTTGTTTTTCAATATATAATGTAGTATACCTTACCTAAGACGAGCGCCATCGAATGACTGTTTGAAAAAGTGGGCTATGACCCAAAAAGTTGGAAAACTATGGGTTACATTATTGATTTCAAAAACGGGAGTCGTTTTTTTTTTTTTTTGAAAATGGGACAGTAGGCCAAAAAAGGTTGGGATTCTATGGTGTAATATAAGAATTTATAGTTTGATTCTTGAATGTGTGTTATGTAATTTTGAAATCTCTTTGAGTATACTATGGATTGTAATTTATTTTTCTGTATTAGTGGTTTTGTATTGTGTTTATTATTATTTTAATTTTTTAATAAAATTAAAGACAGTCTGCCCAATAAAGGACCACCATTTATTATTTCCGTGTTCCAGACAATACACATTCTTGGCAACAGACCTTTCCTTTTAGGCTACTTGTTGCCAGAAGTTTAAAAAGTCCTTTTAAAAAACACAAAAAATATATCCAATTAAAATTTCAAAAAAATGGAACTGGTGACATTCAAACGTCTTTCTTGCATCCATCATACCTTCGTTTGGGGTGATAATGCTTTTATCTAAAAAGAAGCGCTGGAATATGTAGATTTCATGAAAGCTGCCCCCTGGTGACAATACCTGTAGATTTTCGTCTGTAATTTTTTTCGTCTGATGGAGATTATTTTTTAATAAAATAATGGTCCTTTATTGGGCAGACTGTCTTCAATTTTATTAAAAAATAATCTCCATCAGACGAAAAAATTTACAAATTATTTTAATTGTTTTTTTGTTTAAATGACTTTGTACAATTTATGACTATTATTTTACTAAATTACTTGTGTACAGTTATGTTTTTGGATTTATCAACGTATAATTTTAAAAGTAAGTGATTTGATTATAAATAATTATATTAATTGAGGTTGCAACAGGAAGAGTAATTTGATTATATCTCACAACGAAGTGTAATATAAATTACACAAGGCTTTCTTTACGTGTGTTCAATACTCTTTCTTTTGACGATACGCGTTTTGGATCTTTGCCGCTCTTCTCTCGGCTTTTTCCATAAAGGCGTATACATTTAATTTTCCAAAATTGTATAATAGCGTCGCTTTTGCCTTTAAAACAATAAAATATCTATAAATGCTTTGGTCCGGCTGTCCTTCATTAATCTGGAGAAAACCGGTAGATAGCTAACATTTGAGATAAGATATGGCTATCTTAAGAACGGATAAACCCGATTAACAATACAGTTACGTCCGATGTATATCGGAAATTGTCATTTCAATTGAAAAATTTTGTCTAAAGGTGTTAGATAGATGACTATATTACAGGAAAAGTAATTTGTACAAGGACAAGACACTACTAACTTCAGGTGGAGAGAATATATTTTAAAATAAAAAAATTATTGAAAATATCATTTAAAATTGCAGCCCGGCATTGTGACCATGTCACAATAAATAATTGCTGGTTATCGTTTCATTTCTGTTAAAAATTTAATTATGATTCAAATGCAGACACGATATAGAATAAAATATTTTGAACAGTCCCATAAATGAGAAAACGTTTTTTCGTTTGGTTTGGTTAAGTTATTGCAACGCAACACTTGAGCGATCTGCCTAGGGGAATGCCTTCCGGGAGATTTTTTAAGGGTTATTGGTCTCTATTTATTTGTTACAAACGTGAAAAAAAATTCAGAAAACTTTACGTCCACGTGGCCAGCACTTACTGGCAAGGCACGAACCCACGACCGAACTCCAATTGTTCTGGGAACGAAACTACTTGGCCACTGGCGGGCTAGAAAACGTTATTAATTAAGCCTGCATTATTAACAATGCTTGAAGAGATCTTGCAAGACTTTGGAACACCTTCATAGCCTTATCTTAGCAACGAAAAAACCAGAAAGTCTAATCATTTTCACTTATACTGCAATATTCACGGTTTATTCTGATAGCTGCTCCTGTGGGTGTCCTCGCGGTAATGCGAGACACTATATACTTGACTGTCCTCTTACTGAGGATTTTCGCCGAGGGGCCGACCAAGTCGACTGGTCTCGGCCGCCTGAACAAGTACTTCGAACGCTAGCAGCTAGTAAAGGAAACTTGAAGAAACTAAAGGAATTGATGGAAATGATCTTAAACTTATGATCTGTGTGCCTAGTGGACGCACTGGGCTGGGCCCCCTTTTTCTTGTAGGGAAGGGGACCCCGCTGTCCGTCATTTATTAAAGCAAAGAAACTTTGCGATTATGAGCTGGAAAGGTTTAGTTAGTGGACCAAAGTGCAGTACATGCTGCACAATTTAAAGCTATGTCAAGTAAGAGAGCTGGGCCTAGTAATGTGGACGGGTAACCGAAGGATGCATCACAGGGCTTCGCTTTGCCGATGGTACTCTGCGGCAGAAACCCCTCAGATCGAAGACGAAGGTAAAGACATAGTCTCTTAACCCTGTGGTGCCAATGGTGGGGCAGGGAAAGGGATACCTATATGGGGATAGACCTTAAGAGATCTTATACTGCAATATAAAATTTAAATAAGATAAAAACTAGACAAGAGTAATTTCGTTGAATTATAAAAAATTTATCTATTTATAAATATAGGCCTACTAGCTGTTACCTGCGACTTTGCCCGCGGGGGTTTTGCAAGCAAACTCCATTTATATTCAGTATTTCAACAACCTTGGTAATTGTTATATAACACCTACCTCCTCCGACAATAATGAGAATTGCTGAAAATCAAACGAACTGTTTTCGATTTGATCAATTTTCTGGAACGTTTACAATCGTTCTATAATCGAACCAATATGCAATAACAAATTTGAATTTAAAACAGTTCGAACATTTAGTTAAAAACTCAAAATATATGAAAACATTTATAACAATGTCTGAAATGTTATCAATTTAATAGACCTAAGTACTCAATGAAGACTAAACGTAGTTGAAAACAAAAAATCGCGTCTAAAATAGTACAGTAGAGGCCGTTCTTCAAATTAAGCCTTGATGCAATCCCTCTCCCCCCGCGGGGGTATTTCGATTTCAGTTTGTTTACTTATGGCAACACAACACTTAGGAATCTGCCTAGGTGGATGCCTTTCGGGACGCCTTTCTAAGAGAAGCTGGCCCCTATTTTGGCGTTACAGACAGTGGCGTAGCGTGGGTGTCAGCCGCCCGGGGCAAAGGAAAATTTTGCCGTCCACTTATTTAGATATGTCAATTTAAAAGACTAAAATTCAGTTTCGTCATAGAATAAGTAATGAAATATTCTGTGCTAGTGTTGCCATCTTTTTAAAATCGCTGACCCGGACAGCAGGTGAGGTTTGTTCGAACAGAAGTTCCTGACGCATGCATACGTCATTTTGCAATATGAAGAAGAATGTGCAGTGCATGCTGGTTCTAAATCAGTTACTGTTAGCGACTAGGGAGACTTGGGTGGAAGTAACGTAAGTAACCTAGATGACTTAGCTCTATTGGATATTGGAGGTGTATATGAATACGAATGAATCGTACAAGCAACGAAAAATAAATCGACAGGTTGCGCAAGATATCCCCGGGTAAAATTAATAGTTCACCCGGACGGTGAGTCTGGTGAGTCGATTCCCTAACTGTCCGGATGGTAATACTATTCCGTGCTCATTTCAATTGGTCCGAATCGTAGGTGCGGCGAAAATATTAAAGAAAATGGTTCAAATTTTTACAAGATATTATTATTTATTGTGAAATTTTGCCATCCCCTAAAAAGTGCCGCTCCCACTACGCTACGCCACTGGTTACAGACGTGGAGAAAACCCAGTAAAACTCCACGTGGCCAGCCCGTCAGAGAGACGCGCAAATCCATGACCAAACTCCCAGTGTTCAGGATACGAA